ATGTAACCCATCTCTCGCTGCCATATAGCAGGGTGGGAAGGACCACTGCTCGATATACTGCACGTGTAACTTTATCGATAATTTCAGCTCCCTACAGCTGAAGACACGGTTGCGGAGTCTGCCAAAGGCTTGAGATGCACATCTGATCCGATGCTGAATCTCTTCATCGATGTCCGTGGTGGTGGACAGGTGGGAGCCGAGATACAGAAAGTGGGTAACATTAGAGAGGGTAGTACCGTTAAGCTGGATGGATGGTGGAGGTGTGGCTGAGCCAGGGGCAGGCTGAAAGAGAATATGAGTCTTACGTACATTCACCGCAAGGCCGAAGTGCGCATACGCATCTGCGTAGGTGTTCAGGATCTCCTGTAGGTCGTGTTCGGTGTGAGCAACAAGAGTGAGGTCGTCTGCATACTGAAGTTCAGTAATGGAAGCTGCCGACAACTTTGTTCCTGCCAGGAGTCGTCTTATGTTGAAAAGACTCTTCATCCGGTACTCGATGTCCACCCCGCCGGCTAAATTGGCGCTGACACAAGTAAGAAACGCAGCCAAGAAAATGGAAAAGAGAATTGGTGCCAACATACACACACACACACACACACACACACACACACACACACACACACACACATACACACACACCCGAGATCCCTCGTTCGCGAATTGTTGTTCGTCACCACAACCGCATCCAGCCCATACGAGCTCATACTGATCACTATAAGAACAGCCCAGTCCCAACCATTGTAAAAATAATCAACAACTCGTAATCAACCAGTGTGTTCACTCCCAGCCAATCTTACTTTTTGCACCGTCACTATGTTGAAATCCCCTGTAGTATAACCTTCTCCCCACCGTGTTATTATATATCATACTTGTATCACTTATGTTACTTGTATATTATTTGTCATTCTAGTGACCAATTCCCCAATTATGTAACTGTATATTTTCAGCTTTTTGACTGACATGCTCTTTCAATAAATCGTTTATTATTATTATTATTATTATTATTATTATTATTATTATTATTATTATTATTATTATTATTTTTATTATTTATTATTATTATTATTATTATTATTATTATTATTTTTATTATTTATTATTTATTATTATTATTATTTTTTTTTTTATTATTATTATTATTATTATTATTATTATTATTATTATTATTATTATTATTATTATTATTATTACATACACCTCTCTCTCTCTCTCTCTCTCTCTCTCTCTCTCTCTCTCTCAATACTCCTCTACCACACTAATTTCTTCCCTCTCTCCCTCCCACCTCACACTAATGAAACCATTACAGCCGAGTCTTAATCTGACCTTTTTTCCCCGCGTCGTTTTTCCCCTAGACTTCCCCGTGTTCTTTTGATCTTCTAATCACCTGTACAATTTTTCTCCCTATTCTGCTTGCCTTCAATACCCCTTTCAGTGACCTTTGTATTTTTTCCCTGTTTCATCTCCAATTTTTCTTCGCATATTGTCCTGCCTCCTCCTTCCCCTCCCTTCTCCTCCTCCTTCATTATCGTAGCTTTTTTCTTCATAGGTTGTGAGATATTAATAGTGATGAAATAAACCACACACACACACACACGCACACACACACACATACACACGAGACCCATCAAAATGAAGACCTCTCGGGCTGCCCCCTTGAGCTCCATCTCTCCCTATGACCCTTTAAAAAGCGATTCAGAGGCTCCTGTATTGCTTAATTACCGAGTCGCTCATGAAATCATCGACACTGGTAATGGCTGTGAATAATTAGGGTAATTAGTGAAGATGGAGATGCTTTGGGGTGAATTAATAAGGAAGATTGTAATTGCTTATAGTCGTGATATTGTTTGTGCTCTTCTTATGTGTAATTTAGCTTATTATTATTATTATTATAATCATCATCATCATTCATCATCATCATCATCATCATCATCATCATCATCATCAATCATTAATCATCATCATCACCATCATCATCATCATCATTCATTAATCATCATCATCATCAATGAACTAAGACTTTGCTCTTCGATACAATGGACAAAGTGATGTATAATTGTCGTGAGCAATATTAGATTTAAAGAAATATCAAAGTCAAAGCCTTACATACTGACGATGAGAGAGACAGAGACACGGCCCAGGAGAGACAGAGACACGGCCCGGGAGAGACAGAGACACTGCCCGGGAGAGACAGAGACACTGCCCGGGAGAGACAGAGACACGGCCCGGGAGAGACAGAGACACGGCCCAGAGACAGAGACACGGCCCGGGAGAGACAGAGACAGAGACAGAACAGGAGAGACAGAGACACAGACCACGGGGAGACAGAGACACGGCCAGGAGAGACAGAGACACGGCCCGGGAGAGACAGAGACAGACACGGCCCGGGGAGACAGAGACACGGGCCAGAGACAGGAGACAACGGGAGAGACAGAGACACGGCCCGGGAGAGACAGAGACACGGCCCACAGAGACACGGCCCCAGAGACAGGAGAGACAGAGACACGGCCCAGGAGAGACAGAGACACGGCCCAGGAGAGACAGAGACACACGGCCCGGGAGAGACAGAGACACTGCCCGGGAGAGACAGAGACACTGCCCGGGAGAGACAGAGACACGGCCCGGGAGAGACAGAGACACGGCCCAGGAGAGAGAGAGACGGAGACAGTCCAGAAGAGACAGAGACACAGCCCAGTAGATAATTGAATTGAATTGAATTGAAACAGCTTATTTAGCCAGAAAAACACAGATACAGAGTGGATAATAATAACAATATTAACAAGGCTGAGCCAGTTGAGAACCTGAGCTCTCCTGTAGGCACCTGATCTATACATTTATCTTAAGGAAGTATTATGTAACATTTAGTATCATATGGAATAGTACAATAGCATGGTGGTAATAAGAACATCTCAGAATGTTACCACGGTTATCACTTCAATATTTATTTATTTTATTTATTTATTATTTATTTTTATATTTATATTATAAGTATATACATAAATTACAGTGGAATTGAAAAACATAAGTATAATGAGGGAGCAGTACAACATGGGTTGTACAGCATTAAGGTTGAACAAGAGGACAGAGCTGTCAGGATTATGTCTAGTTGGCAAATATATTTATTGCTATGGTAATTTCTTATCTATTTACATGATAATTTCCGATAAAACGGTTTTGATGGTACAATAAAAGCAGGTACTGTAAATATAGTAGGTATTACAAGAAATATTAATACTTAGACAATAGATATTTAAAGGAAGGGAGCGTAGTCTTTGCTCGGATGGGTGGGGGTAAGTTGTTCCACACCTTCACACCATGGAGGTCTGGGACTGAGAGGAGAGCATAAGGGGTGGTCTTAGTAGCTCTGGGTGCCTTAAGCTGTATCTCTGATTATTCCGGAGCTGGAAATAGTTATTGTCAAGCAAGTGATTGATAGATTTATAAACAAAGAGGGCACAGCAGTAGGTGTTAATATCTTCGAATTTTAACAGGGGAGAGAGATAGGAGATGAGATTATCCATTAATCAAGAGAAAATTTACAAGTGTAAGAGTGAGTTAGCTTTGAGAAGGAGAAGGCGACACTGAGTCTTTAAGGTTAACAAATTGAATATTCACCCTTAACTTTTCTCATTTACTTTTATATCTAGCAAACGTCGAGTCTTAGTTCAATTTCGATGCCATATTTTCAGCCAACATTTTCCAATTGTTTATGTCGGATAGTTATGTGGTTTCTTACGTCTACAGTAAAGAGGTAATCGAGCCCATGAGCCTGTCGGAATCTAAGTTCACTTAATGACGGAAAGATACGAGTAAAAAGCCACAATGTCGTCAAAAGTTCACTGACACTCTACCGTAAGTAAATGCGTTTTCTCGTCCCCACTTAAGGGTAAAAATAAACATCATACGATATTTTATGAATAGAGACAGTCACTCTCTTATTTATTTTCATTGTACTTTGAAGTTGATGTAATTTGATTTAAAGACGAAAAGGATGGAATTATGCTTGTTTTAATACTTGAAATAAAGTGTAGTCGATAATGAAGTTTGATTTGAGTTCAAAATGTCCTGAATATTATTGGTTTATACTACGGATATACTGTACTAACATACATACAAACATACATATATACGTACATACATACATACATACACATACACATGCATACATACATACATTAATAATAATAATAATAATAATAATAATAATAATAATAATGGATGCCCCTCGTGTAACGAGGATGGCCGGCCCAAGGGCCACCTTGGCGTGAATTTGTTTGAGGTGTAGTAGCTGTCGCCAACCCAACAACCACACCCTAAGTTAACGAGTTGCATGACCCAGTGTCAAGGAATAGTCCGAGAAGACCGGACAACTCGCCAACTGCACTGGCTAACAATTACCCCTGAATACGATCCGCAAATCAATTAACATACATGATTCCTTCTCCGAAGATAACAAAATGATCACCAAAAGATTAGTCACCCCAACTTATTTCACCTTGGGATTAACCACCCCAATGCTAACCTAGCATATCAAAACATAACATAATAACACTACATAACATAATCTAACCAAACCTAACCTAACCCCCCACCCCCAGGTAGCGCTAGTCACTAGTGTGTTTAATCATCAGGTGAACTAAGCTGGGGGCTAATCTGCAGGTCATGCTAAGAAGCATTACAATTTAGATATGAGACAACTGGTCCTCTGAGACATAAATCCCAGGAACACCTCCATATAGGTGTCTTCCTGTAGGGTTGATTGTCTCCTTAGGTCCTGAATAGTTGGAGGGAAGTTTTCTACTCAGTAGGTGAAAATAAAATGAGAGAGAGAGTTTAGCAATGATAATTTCATATTGTTCCAAACACCAAATCTATCTACACGTCTACTCTTGACGCCCTTATACTCATCAATTTATGAAACACATCTACCATATATTTATGACGCCCATCTACCCTTCATCTACTACCACAACTTTACAAAGCAATCCAAACTTTCAACTCACGGGATCAAAGAAGCTCCGGTCTTGTGAGGTGATGATGAAGACATTGGTGGCCTTCTTGCAGTCTTTTGGCCCCGCTTCTGCCACGTGGTCAAAATACTCGAGGTTGATGACACCGTTTGTCTTCTCTCCCGCCTTGCTGTCTTCTCTCTCGTAGTAGTAGAGTCTTCCCTTGGCCAGGACGCAGTACCTACGCTTCCACTGAGGGATGTAAGGGAAGCTCCTGCCGCTCAGCTTCGTCAGGTAACCCGCCTTCTCCGCCTCCCGATGTTGGCTGGCTCCTGGGATATCCTGGAGGAGAGACGACAAGAAGACATGGTTAATATTGAACTATGACGAGAATGTCTGTGTGAGATAAATTGGGTGAATGTAGGACATATAAAATATATGAAGAATGAAAGGAGACAAATTTAATATATTAATTTCTGTAACAGGGAAAAATAATTCTATTGATTCAATTAACTTTATGTTTAAAATTAAATTAGCTATTGAAGGAACGAGAAGCAGGACTATTATTAGATCAGAAGGTTAATTTTTATTCAGGCGTGGTTACAGGTAAGTCTCGCTGTGATTTTTTTTCTTGAGAATCTGACAAAATAACAAAAACTTGAACTCTGATGCCGACGTCCTTGTTCTGGTCGTAAACACAAAACGGGTATTTACGTTTCGATCCTGCTAAGGTCTCCTCAGGCGAAACAATATATTTTGTTTTGCCTTGAAAAGATAAAACAAAAACAAAAATTCGTTCAGACATTATTAATTTATTTACTAATATTCTGCGTCGTATCACGTGAACCCGTCAATATATTTTTTTTTGTTCCCCACACACACACACACACACACATACACATAACGACCTGCTGTTAATTACATCTAATAATTACATAACCACTCTGAAGGGTCACTAGTAATTAATCAGATTAGACGGATTTAAGACTCAAACGTCAGTAATCCGGCCTGGACAAGGAGATTAATTTGCGATTGATGATGGAGGAGTGAGAGGGTTACCAAGGTGCCTGGGTAGGAATTCCGCGTGTTCAGTTAATGCTAATGGGATTATAGAGGTCTGGAGAGATGGTATTACTGGGATTAATTTTCTTATGATACCGTATAGTAGAAGTGTGTGTGTGTGTGTGTGTGTGTGTGTGTGTGTGTAAGTTCTGTTTGTATGCCAGGATATGTGTATATAATATTCTCGTGTGTGCGTGTGTGTGTGTGTGTGTGTGACAACAGACAACAATCAAGGCGTTGGAGGAGGTGGGTAGGGCAGGATGTGACATGAGGGAGTGGAGCGCCCACAGTCACGTGTGCGTTACACATTCCCTGGGCACCACACACATACACACACACTCAAACAAACACAGGCACCATCCACTGTCACACCCAGACACTTCCAACACAAGACAAACACACTCGGGCATGTTGCAAGTGGCAGTGCGGGTCGTCTGAGGTAAACATCTGTTTCAAGTTAGGGGATGTGAAGGAGCTAACGGCGCCTCCGACAAGTACCGCTTTACGTTCCTCTCACACAGGTTTACCGAGTCCTACAGAGTCCTTCAGATGCAAGTTGGGTCTTGGTGTTTGACAGAGGCTATAGAGAGAGAGAGTGAGTCGAGTTTGCTTTGCCCTTTGGGTATGCTAGTCCTTCAGAAGTCGTGTTAATAGTCTGATAGAGTGCTACAGGAATCGAGTTTATTTTTGTGTCCAACAGAATCCTTAACGGGTCGAGTTTGCTGTTTGGGTAGAGATGGTGGAGAGTATTTTTCGGGGGTATGGTAAGTGGAATTTATGAGGGGTATTGCTGATCTCTCTCACACACACACACACACACACACACACACACACACACACCAATGAAACTAAATCCGAACGCTTCTCTTTTTCTTTTCTCTCGCTCTCATAAAAAGTGGATTTGTATCGAGCAGTCAGCAGTTCTTTAGTGGGGAGTGAGTTTCTCGTCTGCCTGGGTGACAGCCACACGACATTTTTCTGCGTGATGCGGGAGGAAATGACTCCCCAGCTGACGGATGGCAACACCCCCCCCCCTCTATCACCCCAAACCACCACATAACCCGTCCCTGACAAACCCCCCCTCTTCCCCCCTCACCACCACCCTGTCGTTGCCACCTTGTAAACATTACCAGAGCGATGTCTTCGTTTTCTTTGGTGACCGTGAATGATTGAATGGCTCTCTCTCTCTCTCTCTCTCTCTCTCTCTCTCTCTCTCTCTCTCTCTCTTTATTTCTGTACTGTATTGTATTCAAGTGTCTCGTTCTCATCCGGTGATGTGCTGTACAGCTCAACATCTGCTCACAGACGAAACATTATTCAAAGAAAATTATCGGGCATAATCAAATTCCCTGGCCTGTCATTAACGAAATTGCTGGGTACCAACTTCCCATTATGTTGTTTTTCCTTTTCTTCGGCCGTACAACAACTTCACCTGGCGAACCCCGGCAGTTGGAGTGCGCTATTCCATTGGCTGTTAGTCGACTGTACTTCCTGACGTACGATAATACTCGCTCGATGAGGCTGCGTGCAATTAATTGACTCTTCCCCAGCCCATTTAGGTGGACACGTGCATAATAACATACGTACTTGTCATGGGTGTCAGTGATGGTACAGTGTAGGAGTAACACTCTTATCGTAACATATGGGAGCCAGATGTCTGAATCTTCATTTCGTGTGTTATAATAAATAATAAATTAAAATGAGGAGTTGTGCTGAAGGGGTGAATATTTATGTGAGTGTGTGTGTGTGTGTGTGTGTGTGTGTGTGTGTGTGTGTGTGTGCCCTCCTCTTCTTCGCCTCAGTATTTCTTTCCTCTGTTTCACCATTTCAATATCTTCTCTTTCCCGTCTTCCCTTACCCACAGTTTCTCCCGCTACCTGTGATAATTGGTGAATTCCTCCAGTGACACCTGGCCACTCAGGCAGGTGAGGAACTGTTTTTTGGCCCACCTTAAATACCAGTGGAGGATAACACCGTGATGTGGCCTTTTCTTAGTAGTGTGTGTGGGGGGGAGGGGGGAATTGAATTTTGACACGGACATCAGCTAGTTTATTGTGCACCCCATACTCATCCTGTGAGCGGTAGCGCAAAAAGGATTACAGAGTATAGGCCACAAAGGGTGTTTATCAGACCCCAGTGAGTTTGATATTATGGCAATGAATGTTACAGAGTATTTCCAGTATATTGTTTGTTTAAGTCGGTACATAGAATTTTGATTTGGTACTGGATGCGAAGTGTGGATACAGCCTTAGTACATCAGCTATCTTGTCATCAGAGATAAAGTGCTGTGCCATTGCATACACAGTTTGCTTGGATCTATCTTTATAAAGTTCTATTTTTTCACAGCAAGACGTAGTGTTGGAGTGTGTAGCCATATGTCTGGCCACACACTTTACATTTAGTTTTGTTCACATCTTCCTGAGGGGCATGCTGCCAGAGGTACTTATATCCGAACCTTCGTCTAGCGGTTACAACATCTTGTAATCTAGTGATCCCGTTACTTGCTTCATATACATGTTTTATTTGATACATCTCATCATTGCAAACAATGGATTGGCTAGTGCCTGTTTGCACTTGTCTACTGGCTTCACATTCATCATAAACCTCTTTCTGATTCAGTTTTTAAGGTTCTGTTTGACAGTTCTAGATTGTACTCAACACTGTCATTGTTGGACGCGAGTTTAGCTTAAGCATCAACTCTATCATGTTCACTAGTGCCTATGTAAGAGGAGATCCACAACTGCTTGATCGTCATAGCCCCGTCAACAAGACACATATGCTTGTGTCTGGCTTCAGAGAGAAGCGGGTGACAATCTGAGTTTAGGGTATCAAGAGCAAGTAGAGAGGATAAGGAGTCAGTGATGATGAGACTGTCAGTGGCGGTGTCTTCAACAAGTTTCAGGCTGTGAGTATGGCAAATAGTTCAGTTTGTAGAGCGGATGCCCAGTTGCTAAATCTACTTCCTTTCTCTATTACATTTCTGTTAGGCTTAGTCACAATGACAGCACTTTCAGCCCCCCACAGACAGTGTTAAGAGAGCCGTCAATGTAGATGGTCTGTGTGATGTTATTTCCAGTCTGCAAGTTATATATGTGGTCAAGAGCTCTCACTTTGGCAGTGTTGTGGAGATAAGGATTACGTGTGGTCAGTCGTTCAGGCGGGTACGTGGGTGTTGTTATATCGAAGGGAACTGTCCGCCAGGGTGACAGGAAGCGCTGCTGTGTCTCAGCTTTGTACAGATGGTCTAGTCCAAACTTCTTCATATATAATGTATGTGTAGCTGTAGTTTGAATCCATTTAGATTCACCAATCCCATGGCTCACACATTCGAGCAATTTTAAGGAAACAATGTTTTCAGGATCACCAAGCCTCATGGCTATCAAAAGGTTGACTTCAATTATTCTATCTTTGATACTGGGTATACCAAGTTCTTTCCTCATATCAAGTACTTTAGTGCTCATGGGACAGCCTAAAATAATTCTAAGGGTTTTATTTTGCATTTATTCGAGCTTGTCAATGCCTTTCCCGTCACGATGGACCAGGGCTGATGCGTGGTAATCTATCAGAGATCTTATATAGCCTAGGTACACTGTTTACACAATTGCGATATTAACGCCATAATGTGGGTTGTACCCCGCTACATATTTAAGGGGTTTTAACCTATCAGTACATTAGCGCGTTAGCCGTTGTATGGCAGGTGAGGTACAGGGGATAGGGACACCGAGATATTTAAAAGAAGAAGCATAGTCAATAGTGTTGTTACTTCTCTTAAGATTTGAAGGTCCTCGTTTGCTGTTACCAGCTTGTTTGTTGAATATTTTAGTTTTCTCAGTGGAGATGATGAGGCCAAGATTTTCACATGGTTCAGGGTGGTTTGCATTTCACGAGGAGTTTTAGTATGTATACAAATGTCATCTGCATAGCTGACAGTAATATTGCTGAGACTGTCTGGGACTGACTTTAATAATGTGTTTATAAGAACATTGAACACAGTGGGATTAAGTACTCCACCTGAAACAATGCAACAGTTTTTCTGTAGTGAGGTAACCACTTATCCAGTGTAACAGCCGACCTCCTATATCCATTTTGGCTAGTTCATAAGATATAAGTTGCCTGTTGGCAATATCAATGCAGCTTTCAGGTCAAGAAATGTGGTGTATTTTTGTCTTTCACCCCCATGCACAGTTAGGAATATGGTAATACAATTGTGTACACTTTTACCATGGGTGAAGCCATTTATGTTAGGGGACACGTGTTCTCTGATTCTGTATCTGAGTCTA